AGCGACTGCCTTCAGCTCAGGTCATGATCCTGGAGTCCTGGGATCGAGTCCCGCATCGGGCTCCCTGCTCAGCAAGGAGTTTGCTTCTCCCTCTGACCCTCCCCGCTCTCATGTTCTTTCTCACTCTCTCAAAGAAATAAATAAATCTAAAAAAAAAAATTGCTGAGGGTAGCTGAAGAGGAAAGGAAACAGCGTAAGATTAAACTACTCCTGTCTTTTGAGAATTTAGGTAAAGCAGTTTTATCAAGAAGGAGGAGCCCTCTTCAAGCACAGGTGAGAGGGGATTTGTCTTCGCGTGGGCTGCTGGACCCCAAACCCCCAGACTGGGTGGCTTCAACAGCAAGGGGGTGATTCAGCTCAGGAAGGCTGAGGCTTCCAGGATCAAACCTATGTCTGGTGAGGACCCATCTCACCATATCCTCACAGGGTGGACACCAGGCAGAGGGCTAGCTCTCTTCCTGTCTCAAGCGGACACTAATCCCGTCATGGAGGCTCCCTACCTCGTGACCTAATTACCTCCCAAAGGCCTCACTTCCAAATACCATCACAGGAGGGCTTCAACATCTGAATTTTGTGGGGGCACAAACATTCAGTCCTTAGCAGGACCTGTCCTATATACAGAAGAAGGGTTGGTGAAGACCCCACTGAAACATGACAGTGAGGGGCTTGGAATTTAACCTCAGACAGCAAAGGAAGCAGCAATGAACTCTGGCTTGAAGGACCCAGGCACATGACGTCTTCTAAAGGAAGGATACTGCCAAGGAAGCACAGTCCTGGGCTTGTCTGAGGTCCCTTCCCGCTCTCTGCATGCCCCCTCTGTTCTTACGGCATATGTCACCTGGTAACTAGCCCAGCCATCCCCCTGGAGCTGTGGTTTCTGATACAGACCTGGGTCTTCTCTGAGTCGTGGTGAGCTGACGCAGGCTGGGAGAGCTGCTTGTTTGCACCTCTTTCCCCTCCTCACTCAGTACTGGCAGGATAGTAGCTTGAAGTAGACCAAGATGGGAGTATTTACACCGTGGGAACAGGCAGTTGGCCAAGGCTACCTACCAGGACTCCCACTGCCCTCCCGCTCCACCACCACGCCCCATCCCAGCTGGTGGTTCACTGTTGACCAGCCCACCAGTGCCTCCAAGTGACACACCCGTTCTCCCTGTCATCTACTTTATAGCACCTCTTGTAGTCATCGGTGTGGCCAGCTGGCTTCTCTCCACACATCAATGATGAGAGAATCAGGCCTAGGACTTTGCAACAGGTAAACGGAACTTCACACAGCCCTACTTTGAAGATTTTGTCTGACTCAAGTAGGCATCATACGCAATTCTGAAAAGTAACAAACAGCTTCCCAGAACGTAATCTTAATACATTTTGTTTCGGGGAAAATCTAATGCCATCTACTTGTATCTAATCTTATCAGCAGTCAGTGGGGGTGATAGTTAATGGCTAGGCTTTCCCAACCACAGTGCCTGGGCTCAAATTCCAGCTCTTTGACTGGCAGCCTGTATGATCTTAAGCCAGGCACTCAGCCTCTCTGTATCCCCGTCTCCTCATTCAGAGTCATGAATGTAGTCACATCTACCATGTCCTAGGGATGGAGTTTTGCAATGGTGGTGAGGTTCGGAGCCGACGGCCAAGCCGTCTTTGGTGCAAAAAAGGTGCTTTTATTAAAGCGCGGGGACAGGACCCACGGGCAGAAAGAGCCGCGGCCCCGGGACTGTGAGGAGCAACTGATTATATACTTAGGGGTTGGGGGGGGTGGGTAAAGATTAGGGAAATTCCAATAAAACCTAATGATGTACTTATGTTGGCTAATTGAATTTAAATTAAGTAAAATTAAAAAAACAAAGGCTCACAGGCTACCAGAGGCCTTGCTGTTGACAAGCTAAGGTTGCTTTTCCCTCTAGCAAGGCATTAACTTCGAGATGGCTGGGAGTTTCCTAAGGAATGTTACACTCCGCCTGCCTCAGGTATTTGTCAGTGGGCTGCAGGTTATACGGACATTTCGTCTTGTTTCCCGCAACATTTAGGACCCGTTGGGCTCGCAGCAGGTATTCACACCCAGGTATCGCTATGCAACACCAGGTCCGCATTCACAGCCGTCCGTGACGCTCCCCAGCACACCCAGCACCTCTCGGGCCAGCATGGGTTGCACGTTAGAGGTCATGAACCCATCACATGGGCACCGATGTCCTCTATTTCTGTCATTCTGAAAACAAGTTCAGTCGATCTGAAGAGGGGTAACTAGGAATGTAAGATATAACGGATAATTTCTTCCTTAAATTCCACGCTCGGTAATTTGGTGTCGATGACCCCCTAGGCAGCTGAGGAGCATTCGAGGTTTCCGAGGTAAGGTGCAGAGCTGGGCACGTTCCGTATAGAACGCCACCATGCTAAAGCAGGTAATAGCCTTTCCCAGGTGCAGAAACTGTAAGGAGCTCGCTCAGAGGCCCGGGGCAGAAAGTGGCTGGCTTCAGGCTCAGCCGTTATCACCCCGTCCTACTGCCAGCTCCAGAGGGCTTGAAGGTCAGGGGGAGGGGGTAGAGAAGGGAGCTTTGGCCTCCAGCAAGTCCAGAGTCTGTTCTCTTGTGCCTCAGTTTCCCACCGTTGCTCTGCTCTTCAGCCCACCAGAGAATCCCCTGCTGGTGAAAGAAAACACGTGATCCAGGAACACGGAAAGCACA